TCTTCACCACTACTTTGCTCCAAAGCTGCCCCCTGTAAAATGCACATTATCCATTGTTAATGCAAATATCAGGCCCCAATCACATGGCAGCAACTCAAAACATTTACACAAAAATTAGTTGAAATTCATGTATCCATACCAACTACACATTCACACAACCTACCTTTGATGCATAAGGTGAATGTCCATTCAAGTCCTTTTCCTCCTGCACAGGGGAATTGGCAGATGGTCTCCTAAACAGGTGACCAACCTTTGGCTTCACAATTTTCTTCTGGTAATAAAAACATACTGTTAATGAACAAAGTTATGAATTCTACTGAAATGTTAGAAGAGGGAGGAACATAATCTATACTTTGTAGTCCATCTCCTTGTTATCTTCAAGCTCTTCTGCAGACATGTGCAGCTCTGAAAACTGTTCCTGAAATTAAGAACGACACTTAAATTAGTGTGTTCACTAGGAATCTAATAATGACTAACTTTACGGTGAAGCGAAATGGCATGCCCAGGTTTTATTAATATTTATTACTTTAACTATAAAACTTTAAGGAAATTCTAAACTATTGGGAGTGTAGTGGTTTACAGATTTGCCTAGCATTTGAAAAGTTACCCGAGACACAGGAATGTTTCCCCACTTGAACCATTTCTCAAAGCATTGATCATTTTATTTGTTCTTCCTAGAATTATGTTTTCCCATTCTTTTCCAGTTTTATCCTTTAATATTGCACAACCACAGAGAATTTGGACAATCTAGTGTTACCTTGGACGATTTACTCGTGAGTGTGTTGCTCTTCCCATTATTTATGTCATCAGGAGACTTGCTCTAAAAAGTGAGAATCCTTGGCATTAAAATGACAAACAGTCACACAGAAAGAAGCAGGGAAACTGTTTTTGGTAGCGTACCTTTGACCCTCTCCTGGACAAGTGGGACATTCTGAATGCCTTGTTCTTTTTCTATAAGAAAAACTGGAGGTGAAGCTACATGCAAGACATATGGATGTAAAACAGCCGGGAATGTGTAACAATGAATAAAATGAGATCGACGATACCTTGCTCTTGCTGTGACTCCCATCTTCACTACTTCCTCCATCAGAATCGGCCATTGCCTAAAGAAAATATTTTGGACTTTTAGCTACTTTTTGGTTTAAAATAACAATTAAAAAAATAAAATAAATAAAAGCTAGTCAAATAACGAACGTATCTGACCTTCAGCGACTCCCTTCGCAGTCTCAGTGTTCCTGACTAGGGGAAAAAAATATCACAGGTTTAGTAGCTTGAATGTTTTTAGCATAATTTTGCATAGACATGAGTTCATGATGTTCTCCAAGGTCAATTTTAAGTAATGTGTTCTTACAGGTTTGAAGTTTGGGTCTAGCTGAGGACTGTCATCAGGCCAGTCTTCCACACACCTTTCCTGTTTTAAGATGTTAATAAAACAGATTCTTATATTGCCAGTTGCCCACCCTCTTGTAATAATTCATGTTGCAATATGTGTTTGTGCAACAACAGCAGAAGAGCTTATGTGGTGGTGGTGCCATTTAGTTTTAGTATGCATATCCACCCTAAACAGAGTACATTCCTGCACCCAGTGAGGTTTGGCTTCCATTTCAGATGGTCTCTCTTTACCATCAGGCCAATATACAGCATCAGTTCATCATTCAATAACAACATTTTCCAATAGACAAACTGCCTTGAATGTGATCGATTGGTAGTCATAAGGGTAAAATTTGACTTCACTGGTCTTGTATCTTTATATGTAATGCATATTAAGCCAACTGACATTATCCAGTAGTAAAGGTGTCTTAATGTTCATTCCATCCAACATTTCCATAGGATCTCATAAACAGTGTCGCCTCAGTCTTTCTGTAGAAAGTCCCCATCTTTATCACAATCTCTGGAAAATTTGTGATCAAAGTCTCATATTTGATTAATGAAACTTACCTGCCCAATAAACAGGATGTCTTCAAAGACAACATAGTTCTCAGGCTCCACTGGTTTAATTTCCTGCACAATTATAATAAATAAATATTTATAAAAATAATATTTCCTATTCAGAGCATAATAAAAAAAACTACTGTTTTAAGCTCTTCTTATGTGAAAACCAATTAGCCACATAAATTTGAAATTTGAACCCCATGGCGTACCGGAGTTTTTTGTTTACGGCGAGTAATCGGTTTTAGATTTTTGAAAGATGGTTTGGGAGAGACCTTCGGTACGCTTGGTTCAGGTTCACTCTAAACACAGCAGCGAGGAGACAAAGAAGGCAGTTAAAAGCAAAGTAAATCCAGCATATTTGTCAGCTCAACAAGAGGAAACTTAGTTTTTAGCCTACAGGGGATTCCAACTGTGGTGCCATTTCTGGTTTTAGTGGCTTTTCTGGCTGTGGTGGCCGTTCTGGCCTTCGATGTCGAGTTCGAGGAAGCGGCTTCGGCGGACGTTTAAAAGACTGCATCTGCGAAATTGATTATAAAAGAAGCTATCAGGCGCATGTCGTATAAATCAGAGTTAAACTTTGCTGCTGATATACAACCTACTGCACAAAGGGAACTTCATCACAGCACACTTGAATGTACAGATAACGAATGATGGTTGTTACATACGTTGCTCATTCTACTTGGAGATTGGCCGGGTGAGTCAGACAGATCCCCGGCCTGAATGATGGGGGTCGGCTGAAGAATGTCATGCTTGGTTCCCCGAGGAGTTGTCAAGGTAATCTCTTGTGGCTTTTGGAAAGGCTTTGGTGGAACTGGTGGCGGAGCTTTTGATTTTTTAAATACATGTGAAGATGATGCGTCTGGCACATCCAATTTCAATTCTGAAGGACTGTTAAGAGAAGAGTATGAAGAATCTGAGGCAATATTTTTGGAGGCCCTTCTCTGTGATGGAAGTCGCTGAAAAATGTCTGGGGTCCCACTAAAAACATCCTGGAAAGGGTCATATTTTGTAAAGGGAGTGGAACCAAATGGGTCATCCAAACTGGAGACATCTTGGAATAAATCCTTTGCGATCGGGCTTGCGAATGGATCAACTGAATTCGTCGATGAAGTGGAAAACGCACTCAAATTTTCTTTAAAAGACAAGCCAACAAGTTCCTTCTCTTTAGAATCTTGTTTGTCTTTCTTTGTTGAATCTGCCTGAAATAAATCAGTTTCTTTGGTTGGGGCCGTGTAAAATGGCTGTGGTAACTGAAACAGATCATCCGCCTTCTCAGTGGCAGTATAAAATGGATTTGCCACAGTAGATTTTGGAGTCTGGAACAAATCATCCTCCTTATTTAAAGGAGATGTGAATGGGTCTACAAATGTACTGGCAGGTTTATCAAAAGGGTCTGCCTTCTTAGCCCATGCAGTTTCGAATAAATCTTCCTTTTTATCAGCCTGGAAAAGATCGTCCTCTTCGCCTTTAAAGAGGTCAGAGCTTCTGGACGGAAAACTCTTAGAGAGGTTCTGCGCCTGAGCCGGAGTTGCTTTAAATAAGTTTGGAGAGTTCAGGGTCACATCATGAAAACCATTAACAGTTGCATTATGACTTGGTGCTGATCTGTGGAAGAGGTCTTGGCCATTGTTGTCATTTTGGCTTTTGAACAGGTTGTTCTTGGGTTTAGAAAACATGCCTCCATTTTCCTCAGTCCTATTTTCAGAGGGAAGATCCGGAGGAGAGCTCTGAAAGTCAGGTGGAGACACAAAAAGGGAATCACAGTCGACGCTCTCCGAAGTTTTCTTTCTTTTGTCCTCTGTTATGTCACCTTTGTTTTCCTGATAGTGGAGCACAAGATTATTCTTTTAAAAAAAAAACTATAAAACAAAAACGTGATGTTGTCATCTGGGTTTAAAAGCATGAAATAAGTGTAATATACATACCAAGTAATATGCATAGAAAGGGTTCATCCTGGAAGAACTCCCATTGACTCCATTCCTCTTTTAAAAGGAGAGAAAAGAAAGTGATTTTAGTCATGTCATGCAAAAACATCTCAGGGCTTAACAGGAAATGTTCCTCAAACAATTGCACAGATTGTTTCATGGTGACAGGGTAGTATTTATGCCAAGTTTAACTTTAGTTGCTTCAGTATTGCCCATAAGTGATCTTTTCTTAATATTTCAATGGACTAAACCAGAATAGTGCCTCTCGTAAAAAGTTATTTGGAAAGCATCGCTAAGAAATGCTTCTTTTAATGACAGTCTAAGATTAAACGCTACAACATGCTGACAAGGCACTTTATTAATAGAAAAGTCCAGTCAGACAAGATCTCTTGACAACAGTGTGATTAGACAAAGGGTGCAGCTTTAACCTGTGACACAGACAGAAGAGGAGGACTTCTAAAAACACAAAGATGAGTTTGAATTAACACAAACTCACCTGTGGTTCAACGTTGTCAGTCACATCTGACCACTCACCACCCTGTGGGCAAAAAGTCACTGACACTAAAAAAAAGGATTTCTAGAGGAAAGTGTTTACATAATGACCTTATCAGGACGTATCATGTGTTTGTTGCCTGACATGCTAATCAGTAAATACACTTTTCCAGGCATGCGACATGCACTTCCACACCTGTCCATTAAACACAAACTCATATTTTGGTGCCGTTTAAACCATAACTCACAAGTATGACAGAGGCACATCCAAAAATTTTACATAACCTGCAGTTCCGTGTAAGTGAAAAACTGCTTTCTACCCTCTGTGTTTTTTTGTGGAGTTTTTTGCCATTAATTAGTCAGAATTTCAGGTTGTCACAAATTGTTATTTTCTCATTTAAACTTTGGAGAAAATAACAAAAAAACAAAACAAAAAAAAACAAAAACACACCAAACTTTAGTTATTACGTCAAAATTTTTAGACAACCTGAAATTCTGACATCCCCCTCGCTTCTTCCTCCAAAGAAAGTATGGATTGTAGATAGAAAGCAAGAGCGTGCATTTGTGTGTCTGCTCACCTTGTACCGATTATGGACAGGATTCTGGGGAACTCTTTTCAGCATATTCTGCAGTTCCACAATACTCTGTAAAGATAACATGCATGGATTATGGTCCGCTTTTCTTTGTTGTGAGCCAGCGAGTACAATACCAGTGATAGTTTGGTATCAATGGAGTATTTTCAGATTGCAGTTAAAATGATGACGATTATCTAAACAAAATAGCTACATGTAACTTTCTGAGACTTAAGGATGTATTCCTGCAGAAAGTTCTTCTTTTACTTTTAATTCACAGTACATACAGTATGTAGAGGCTTAAAAGCAGCTTTACTTTTAGACTAGACTGTTGCATGACATAAAGAAGTTACGCAACATCTACTTTAAAATGAAATCCTGTAAGCCTACTCCTCCTGTAGAATCTCGTGTTTAGAAATTAAATGAATCAATGTATGTTTGTGATTGAGAAGAGTCCAACAGCAGTGATCGCACAAAAATTAGCTTTGCTGTGCAAAAGGCACGCATGACAGGAGGCATCTTGATATTCTGGGTATGTCAATCTAGTTCGTTTGCCTCAACAAAAACAACACAACATGCCAGCAGCAGTACAGGGAAACTGGCGATGACACATGAAACCATGAAGAGAGAGTGCTTACCAGTCTGAGGACATAATGTGAAAACTGTAATATCTTTTGAGTGGTTCATTGAGTAGTGCACTTTTAAGTACTCACACGTCGTCTCTCTCCAGATGCAGCGTCTGATGTTGTCGCCTCTCCGTGTTCGTCCCCTCCCTCGATATTTTCCTACAATATTCAAACAAATCAAAGTAACTGATTACCAACAATGAAGCTGCAGTTTCTGACAATGGGAAGTTTTAAACCTCCTCAAAGCGTCAGCCTGCACATTCTAATTAGCTTGCATAGCTTGCATAAATATTCGCTATTTATTTGAAATTCTTTAATACTCACAGCCGCATCTTCCCTCATGATGAGCAAAACTGGTTAATTTTTTGATGTTGAAGGTGAACCGGTATGTGTTTCCCCACCTGTGTGAGTTATCCTTTACACAATCAACTTTCTGTTACATTTAAACGCAGCAGCTCCTCTGGACCTACTGGAGTGGCGTTTATAATTAGCTCTGAGTCTCACTCACCTGTGACAGGTCGGCCGGTCTGAGGATTTTCAAAATAAGAGGATTTTCTGCACATGCGATTCTTGTTCCGTCCACTTGAAACCCAAATAACAACAAAATTCACGGCTTAAGAGTGCCTTAGACCTCTACACGTTATATTTTAATGCTTTCATTTTGTCACGGCCATTTGAAAAGTCAAGAATGTAATAATAATAATAATAATAATAATAATAATAATAATAACGATAATAACAATTTGATAGCACCTGTTTAATTTCCCGTTGTTATTGTCCTTTGATCGCTCTTTCATGTCAAGGTTGAGTAACCACAGCTAAAAAATATGCTTCTGAATTTAATTAAATTAAGAGCCGTTTTTTCACAATTACTTTGAAGGTAAATTTCCGGTCTCTTACCTGTTCGGCCGGCTTGTCGTAGCTGCTTTTCTTCTTGATTTTTTTTTTTAGCTGCAGTGCGAACCGACCGGTTATCCTCTCCCAGCTTAACCAGGCGGACGTGACGGTGTATTGTTATTTATGACACCTACTTTGAATACAACAAAGCTCTCTAATGTGTAACAAATGGCATGAAAGCAGACGCAGACTGACTGAATAACAATTTATTGTTCAGATTTGGAAATGCATAACAGGAAATACATCATATCTTCGTCTTCAGTTGAACTGTTATATAAGTAGTGAACCCATATGAACAAAAGCCATCCTCATGTCCAGAGCCCCTTGTTACTCCAGGGCTTTGGTCATGTCAAAGAATAGCAGTATGTGGACACTCGGGGAGATTATTAAGATTTGCCTCCTTTGCTGACTGAAAACACTGGATTCTTAGTTTAACAATGTCAGAAGTGTCAAATGGCAGAAGCTCTATAGAAGATCTGTATAATCTGATTGTGAGAAATGGTCTTATTTCTATGGGAAAACTGTAAAATACAGCATAACAAAGTGTATGTGCGACTGTAAAATGTGCTGACACCTGCTTGCCTCTTCAAACAGGAAGTTCAATTGAAATGACTCATTAGACCAAGCTCACAGAAAGCTCAAAAGCTCATCAGCTTTTCAATCTTCTCCCACACCCACTCTAAATACGGACTGGAAACTAACAGCTTCACCGACACACATGCATGTCAACACACAGCATATTCAAATGTAACTCTTTATTTTCTAATACATAATCTTTATAGGATCTTTTAAGTTTTGTGTGCTCTTTCTCACACAAATGTTACTCTTCCTCCATCCCAAAGACAATGCTGTGTAGTGTTGTCCAGCACATTCATTAAAAGACACAACATGAGCAGTGATGGTTCTGGTTGGCTCGTGCTACTGTCCTTTTTTGTTTGTATGCCTGTATCATTTATTCAGTTCATTGTAAACAAACAGTAAAATGCCACCAGAAGTTTCTCTATACATGAGTAAACTTCCTAAAATAATACAGAGACTTTATAAATGGATTTCTTAAAAAATCTAGCTAAACAACACAATTATTCATAATAATTAACACATGGCTAATAAATGTTTAATCAAAAGCTACAAAGAAATGCTTCTATCACTTAACCATAGGATCAACTATTTTTGGCCCAATACCAATAAATTAAATACTTGTAAAGAAATGAAAGGAAAACCACTGACACACATCATGCAATTCTTTCCACAGACAAACAAAGAAACTTGGCAAAACGTGGCATGACTTTATCCTAGCTGGAATTACCTGTATTTTATGGCTATCATGTCCTGCCCTGCAGAGCAGTAAGTCTAAGAAGTGTTAAACTGAAAGTCTGAGAATTGATTTCTCCAACTTTGATAGACCATCTAAAGTAAATACTGTTCAAAAGGTAGTCATACTGTTGTTATTTACATCTAAAAATGATATCTTTAAGCATGCTAGAAAAGCATATTTTCACCAGCTGTTACACTCCTCTGCACTAGCCATTTCAGCCAGCCTGCTATGCCATAACCTGCTGTCTGAACTGGCTGGTGCCACCAAGGCAAAGACTAGTGGGCTCCCTGAAAAGCCTGCCTCAGGTATGCTTTTATCTCCTCAATGTGTTGAGCTGGTGCTAATTGGCCACACCTAGTCAGGTGTGGATGAAAGCATACCTGAGGCAGGCTTTTCAGGGAGCTCACTAGTCTTTGCCTTGGTGGCACCAGCCAGTTCAGCCAGCCTGCTATGCCATTTTAAGATAAAACCTCTTCTTACTAACACTCTGGTATTCGTCTCCTATTTTTATGTTGTGGCTTTTGAACCGGGTCGTAACACCAGCTAATCAGTGGACACTGTCATGGTTGCTCTTGTTCTCTCTCTTTTTGTCAGTGTGTGTGGCATTTGTGGTCACCTCCCTGAGTCCTGTCGTGTCTCTATGCTCAGCTATGCTGACTCCCCTCCAGCTCATTGGTGATCAAGCTGACTACGTAAGGCTGGAACAAACATTCATTCATAGCCAGAATGTTGTGTTAGCCAGGTATGAACTCTATTCATGTGTTTGTGCGCGCCCTGTGAAGTATGCAATGCCTGACTGCCACTATTGAAATTGCTCAAATGTCAAATGCTCGCTCTGTGGTTACTGCCTTTTCCCCTCTGTTTAGTCTGCTAATAATAATTTCTACTGTGCTCTGCCAGTCTACGACAGACAAATTGATTTAGGCTTAATACTTGCTACACAGAAACTGTTGCAGTGTCAAAGAAATGAAAGAAAAACCAAAAAACCAATGATTCGTATCATGCCATTCATTCTGCAAACAATCAAGCCTTCCAAGATGTAACATGACTTTAGCCAAACAGGCAGGCTGTTTATAGTCACCATGTCCTGCCCTACAGAGCAATAAGTTCTAGAAGTGTTAAGTAGAAAAGTCTGAGGCTGAACATCTAACTCTTATTTATTATTATAGAACTCTTATATGTCCAACCATATCTAAAATATCATGGAAATATTAAAAATGCCTCTGAAGGGTTCAACTCTGATGATGTTAATTATGCATTCTTGCTGTGAACATTCTTCACAGTCCACTTTCGGGACAGTTAAAGAGGTTCTGAAGATTAAATATTTCACAAGCGAGAGGCATGTCAGATACACATACAGGGAAAAGCCCAAAATAGTATGTTCCCCCTAAGGGAACCCATGTTTCTGTTATGCTATAGGAGCATGTTTATAGTTATAATTGATTGATTGTAATAGTTATAGGGATTTAGGTCTGATTCAATGTTTAATCATATTAAATTAAAAATGCTTGCATCAGTTAATCAGAGGATAAAGTGTTTTAGACTTGATAGTTTGCTATCAAGAAAATCCATGATTGTCAAAGGGATGGAAAAAACCTACACATGTTAAAATAACATGTATTTTACACACATGTGTAACACATATGATGAAATTCATTCTGCAGACGAAGGTTGGGTGATATGTAACAGTTTTCCAACCGACAATCGTCAGTCCATAGGTGATATATTCACTCAGGTGACTTTTTGATGGGCGGAGCAATGTAATCATGCACGACTGATTTGCTTGTTTCGAGTTTATAAGTTTGGTTTGGAGGGAATATTTTACCTTCTTCTCTGGTTTCTTTCAGTATTATTAAAGCTACTTTTTGGATTATAACTCAATCGTAATCATAATCAATTTTAAATCAATCGCTGCATTTTGCGCACTCTGACAAGGAAGAGGGTGCTGTCAAAACAGCGCTATTACTTTTTATGTTGACTGCTTCTCTTAGCTTCAACCAACATTATTAGCTGACTCATGGGCAAATAAATCGCCCTTAATAAATAAATCGATAGTTTATATATTCATCCAATCGCCCAACCTTACTTACTGCAGACAAACAAGTTTGCCAAAGATGTGGCATGACTCTTTCCAAACAGGCAACGCCTGCGGTGTCTAGTTACAATGCCCTGACCTGAAGGGCACCAAGTCTAGAAAGGATGAAGCAGATAAATAAAGCAAATAAATAAAATGATTATGAAAGCTTTATTCCCTTTTTAAAACCACCATATAAGAGAGAGAGAGATGTGATTTGAAAGTATTGTTTTCAAATGCAGATAAAAGTTTTGCTGTGGCAAAAATATAGACTGTACATAGAGACTTTTTTGTAGATGAGTTTTTAAGTATCAAATAAAATACATTTTTTGGTTCCTCAAGATCTGCTTCTTTGTATTTGAAGGACACAGTGTGAAGGTAAATAAATTATGCTAAATGCATCATAAAGGTGGGAATTGCAGAAAATTCCCTTGTAGGCAGGTGAAAGAGAAAGTAAAACAAACTAAATAAAGACCTGGAATGACACACAGAGGCTGCAGTTGATCTGAGGAGTGGACAAGCACAAGTCGACTGTGTTCTCATCTCGTTAACAGGCGAGTATCAGACTGAAACTATATTACGTAAAATACAAAAAACGTAAAACTGCTAAATTTGTTGCAGGTTTTAGTTTTTGATTGTCACTTCACAATATGCAATGTTGAGAATGACTGCAGCTCTTTTCATGTCAGAGAGATAACCTCAACTTTTTAAATTCTTTTCTGACCAGATTTTTCTACTCCTTTTCCGAAAATGAATAATGATGAGGAGCTTCTCCTCAAGAAGCTGGACAGTCTGGTTACAAACATTAAGTGGGGCCCAAAGGAAGTCAGTGACTTGTTCAAAGCTCTTCTGAAACGATATGAAAAATCAACAAATGACAAATTAACAAATCTAGTGTCATGGATGATAAAAATGTTGCATTGCATAGAGATTCATTATATTTCTCCATGTTCGAAATACAATGGTAAAAAGACACTTCTGGAACTTGTCCAAGATGAAAGTGTAACAGATGAAACCATAAAGAAGTTTTTGGCTGAAGACAAAGAGAAGACCCTGGATGAAATACTTGATGAAATCCGCCAAGAACATTTGAACCAGGTTGATGGACTTCTAGAAGACGTCAGAGACATTGTATCAACATTTCATATAAAGGATCGCAATGATGATTCTGTGAGGAGGGAATTGAAAAACACCTTGCAGGAGCTCTGTTGCGCAGTGGAAAAAACGTTTAAATATAAGCCACGACTGACACAGATGGTGAGCTGGTGTCTCATGGCTCTTTCAAAAACAGGGCGGTTAATTCAGGTTGGGACTGGGGAGGGCAAGTCCTGTATAGTGGCCATGTTTGCTGCTTTCCGAGCTCTGAGAGGTGAAAAAGTAGACATCATGTCAAGTTCATCAGTTCTTGCAGAAAGAGATTTTGGGGAATGGCAAAGATTTTATAAACTTCTGAAGATCAGCGTAGACTGCAACACAAACAAATTAAATGAAGAATTAAAAAAGTGCTATGAGTGTAAAGTTGTTTATGGCACTGCCGAACAGTTTGCTGGTGACTGGCTTAGACACCACTTTCACAGGGAGGACATACTTGGGCAGAGAACATTTCAGTGTGCAATAGTGGATGAAGTGGATTCACTGATGTTAGACAAGGGGCATCATATGGTCTATTTAAGCAGCGACATGCCTGCTTTGCAGCATCTCAACCCACTCCTGGCTTTCATATGGAACACTGTTAACCAGTACGGTAAGATTGATACAAAAACAGTTGTAGGGCCAAAACACCTGTGTTGTCAGGTTGCGCTTGAAAGCATAAAGGGTGAAGATAATGACTTTATTACTTTTCAGATAGCTGAAGACACAGGCATACTGACGAAAGGCTCAGTCGAGAACTTAAGAAAGAATCACGGCTCCTTAACTCTACTAAGTGTCAACAGTAGTGTTACTGTTAAGGAGCTGGCTGAGTTCTTTAACAGAGTAGAACAGAGATTCCCATCCTGCCACTTTGCTCTGTACTGCATAAACAGCAGTGGCACAATAGAGGAACTTAACAAGGAGGGAGAAGGTGAAGATGGAGAAGCACAAAGAGTGTCACTGCTTTTATCCAGTGGCGGCCTCTGTCAGTACATGTACTCTGATGAAAGCACCGCACTGAGAGCTGCAGAAGAAGAAGTAAGAAGTGCACTGCGCTTTACTCCATGTGAACTGAGCCTAGCTGAAATCATCTGCTATGTCCCAGGATTCTTTTCAGATCTGGTCAAATCGAAATTAAATGTTTGGATTAAAAATGCATTCTATGCACAAACCATGACAAAGGATCATGAATATGTCATAGAGAAACATGGGATAGTGCCTGTAGACTACAGCTGCACAGGTGTTGTTGAAAACTGCATGAAATGGAGTGATGGACTACAACAGTTTCTTGAAATGAAGCACGAGTCAAAGCTGAGTGACATGACAGCCATAACAAACTACATGTCCAATGTTGGCTTGCTTCAGAAGTATGGAAATCAGATCTATGGGATGTCTGGGACTCTTGGCAAACAAGTGGAAACTAAGACTCTGCAGAAAATCTATGATGGTATCAAAACCTGTCAGATCCCTTCATTCAAACGCAGGAAGCTGTTTGAGGTTGAAGGTGTGGTCGTGAGCAATGAAGAAGAATGGGTTGAAAAAATCTGTGATGCTGTCATTGCACAAACAACGCGCACATCATACAGGGATCCAAGAGCTGTGCTGGTCATCTGTGAGACCATCAGTCGCGCAAACATTATCCACCAAGCTCTAGGTGATAAAGTCAAAGAGAAAAGTCTTTATATAAACAACAACATGGACAACAGTTCAATCTTTTCCAAGGAGCTTAAAGCAGGAGAAGTTATAATTGCAACAAACCTCGCAGGTCGTGGAACTGACCTTCAGATTACCGAAGAAGTAAAGAGAGCTGGAGGTTTGTTTGTTGTGCAGACCTTCCTCCCTGAGAACGCTCGTGTGGAGGCGCAGGCTTTTGGTCGCAGTGCCAGACAAGGAGCTCCAGGATCTGCTCAGCTCATCATCTCTTCTAGTCATCTGTCAGATCCAATTCAAATGCTGCTTTTAACAAGGAACCATCTCTCTTTAATGGATGATTTACTGAATTTAACTAAACTTAACCAACATCTTTTTGTGAAACAGATTAAGATGTATCAAAAAAGCCCCAATAATAAAAGATTTGAAGACATGTCTTCAATACTGGAACAAATTTTGACTCTAAAGTCAGAGCCAGAAATAAACTTGGCTAAAGATGGCCGAGACAGCTCAGTGGCTCACAAACTATCAAGCTACTTGGAGTCTGACATCCCAAACATAAAGAAGAAGGAGGAGCTCTTCAATCAGTATCTGGATGAACTTGATGATTTGTACAAAAGCAACAACAACAAGCCAGCAGCTTCAGATTTGTCTGCTCTGAATGAGTTTTGGGGTATGTGGCTACTCACAAGCTTCAATGCCAAAGACTCTACTGAGGAATTGAAAGGCAGATTAAAACGAGACCTGGACGCAGCCAGACTAAAACTCAGGCAAAGAGAATCACCCTCTTCTAACCTTTACCACTACATTGGCTTTGGTAATGACTTACGCGAAAAGGGGAACTTTGCAGAGAGCATCGACATGTACACCAAAGCCATAGAGCAAGACCCCTGCTGGGGAGCTATTGCATATTACAACCGAGCTTTTACAACTCTGAAGCAGCAAAACAGGGCTCAGAGTCGAGACTGCATCAGTCAAGCTTTGGATGATTTGAAAAATGCACTCAAATCTGTGCAGCTTTACTGTGACCAAATTCAGGTCACTTATAGATTCTCCAAACAGCACACTGAGAACCACAGCAGTGATTCACCCAGCAGAATTCACAAACACTTCACAGCCAGATACAGTGTGTTAAGTTTTTTTAAAGAAAACATTACAGAGGCCATAAAGAAGGTGGAGAGGAGCAGAGACATGGGTGGGAATGTAAAAGTGGAAGAGAGTCTAATCTACTTTATGGTTCCACTGGGGTATCTCCTGCCCTCATTTAACCTTTCACTGGAAACACTCCGTGTAACCCACTCTAGAAACCCTCTAAAGCGCCAGCAACTCATCAGCGACCCCTCCTTTGATATTCTAAATGAAATTAGGTGTCTTGAATCTTTGGGTCTGAATTGTATCTATACTTTAGACACAATTTTCTCGCTGGGAGGCTTTTTCTCAAAAATAGGAAGGACACTAAAAACAAAGAAAAGTTCTGATTAGAAGACAGGTATTCCAACGCATGAGCAAAACAATATGAATATGAGCAAACAAGAGCTATTTTAAAGAAACTGAAAGCCTAAGACCTAAAGACTAAGAAAAATACAAATTTAAATCTCTTAACTAGTAAAAGAAGGTGTCCCTTCCATTATTTGTTTTCAGTTTACACAAGCAAAAAGTTACCTAAGATTTTCTTTTACTTGCATTTATTTATATTTTTAAAGTACTGATTAAAACACTAATGTCATGAATTCTATTTAGCAGTTTTTATGACTATGAATATCATATGAAATATAAGGCATGCATTGAGTAAACCAATTGTTTTGCTTTGTTCGCACTATTTGAGTCTGAGCCTGTAATGTGTTGTATAAAATTACTGATGTATTGGTATCTGAATCAGTATGGAGGATGGATATGTTTAAAATATAATGACTGTAAATTTGTATAATTGAAACATTTATCTTTGATAGCTAGTTATTGGTCCTCTAGGACCTTTGTCCTTGACTGCTACCCAAACACTCCCCTTATATCTCAAGGAAGCTGAAAAAGGTGGCTGGAAACAGGGAGGTCTTTGCTTCTTTGCTTAGGCGGCTTACTCCCATGATTTGAACTCAAGGAAATAGAAAGAAACTGGATGGATGGATGAAATGTTTATCTTAATTTAACCTTTTTTTTATTACTAAAGAAAAGATGTCATATGGTTTATAACGTTCTAAGATTTGGTTTTGTTTTGGGGTTTTTTTTGCTTTATGGACCATAAGGTTATGTTACTTAATACTTAATGCTGTTGTTAAATTGAGTTATTTGGTATCCAGTTACCAGCATTTGTTGACTGCTGAGACATATGCTTTGACCAAGTTTAAAGAGATCATAGTGACATTAACACATTTAGTTCCTTTAAGTGTTGAGATCCTACCTGATGAATTCAATTATAATCATAGAAATATGTAAATAAAGTTCAACAGTAAGTGAGACAGTTTGTGGAGTTCCATTTATTATTTTCATGCATTTAGCTTCATCCAAGGCACCAAGGCATTCAAATATATGTGTTTTCAAAATGTCTGGGGTTTGTTTTTTTCTTTTCTGAATGTATAACATTTTTAAATGTGCTTTTATCTTACAAGTAGTAATTTATGCACAACTTTGAAGCACTATAAAATAATGCACTTTTTCTCTATTACTTAGTCAATCTGAATTTGTTCAACAAAACACTTATATAACCACGTAGAGTGTGGTGCTCAGTGACTATTTACTATACTTCAAATTATCTAACAGTACACTGTATTCACAACTTTCTAGAAATATTACTATAAAATTTTGTATCACAATTCTTATGTCCTGGTAGTGTATACTTACACTTTTTCTTTTGTGTCCTCCTGTTTAAAGCCAGAGTAATGATCTCCCTGTTCAGGAGATCATTTCAGCATTAGAGGCAAAAGCATAAAGGCTGAACAGAGATAATCATAGCATTGATAATCATTTCATTGCTGCCACTTTCTGGTGTAACGTCATACTGAAGCTTGCGGACACTGGACACTATAATCAAGCAATGTTATGATCATTTAAAAAAAAAAAATTATATATATTTGGGGGTGGCTATGGCTCAGGTGGTAGAGCGGGTCACTTACTCACCGAAAGGTTGGTGGTTCGATCCCAGGCTCCTCCAGTCTACATGCTAAATATCCTTGGGCAAGATTGTAACCCCATGTTTGCCTACTGGTGGTGGTCAGAG